TCAAAGCTACTGAAGCGATTTGCTTCGTAGCGCACCATACATTTGCAACCCGACTTGGCCTTGGCTTTTGTCCTTTGCTTCTGCTGTCAAATTGTTCAAGCAACTACCACAGGCATCAACATCTATGTCTCTCGTGCACTGTAGCATTACATAACTCTTCCCCAACACTATATCGTCCGGTATTTCCTCTGTGCCTTTCCTATTAGCGTGTATATCAAGCCGAAGGATCCAAAACCAAAACGCAAGCTGGGAATGTATCTTTTGCGCCATCTCAAGTACGATGGAGCTGTCTGCATTAGGCCAATGAAATCGACATCAGAATAACGCAACATGCAGTTTTCATACCACGTGATCGCTGTTTTCTGTTCTCTGCAAGTTTCAATAATAACTCTGGCAGCGACTCTCTACAATCGTCAACAGAGACCTGACCTTCACAGAGGAACATACCGTACACAACATCCGAGGTCTGCCCTAATATGGCTGGCTGGAATCCAGAGGCATATACTGCGTCTGTAGAGGTGGAGAGATTTAAGAGAAGCGACTTCAGATTCAATTCGTATATGCTACCCCTCATGAAGTTCCCTGCGTTTGAACAAGTCGTGTTGGCACAGTGCGGATCTGATGAGTTAACCGCAAGAAAACAGAAAAGGAAGAGAGAACAAGTTATGATGCAAATGGATTTGGAAAGACCCATATACGAAATATCTTCTTCTTTAATCCTATAATGCATCTAATGTAACTCTCTCTTTTACTTTGTACGAGCCTATATAGTATGCGGAACAGGGGATATATGGAGAGATTCAGAGAAACAATCAAAGAGAGACATCAACTTGGAGAGAATTGCTCAACCAAGCAATCATCTGTAATATTTAATTCTTGATTGTAGTGTTACATGTGGCTTATACATTTCTTGACTAAGTGTGAATGTCTATACATTTCTACCCAAGGAAAAAGCCAATAGGTAAGATTATTTTTAAGGCAAGTGGCACTAATCCTAAGTTGACTTCCTTTTAACCTGGAAAAGTTCTTTTCTAAAGAACCTATATAATAATAATATGGCGAGAGCAAAATATTTGCATGTTTAGAGCTTGTTACGAATCTCACATATGAATTGAACAAGGACTTACACTAGTATATACAGAAAATATGACTCTA